CCGCTGCGACCCATCATTAACGGTTTTCGCTGGCCGGCCTATTCCGAAACACGTTCACGTGCGCCTCCAAGGCCCTTGCATCGTTACCTCGCATCCTTCTGATGCGCGTCGACTGTACTTCTGCACAAGATCCGAACGCGGCGGAAGCTTGCGTAACCGTAGCCTCACGTTCCCCCCCTGGCGGCGCGGCGGGAGCGAACGCCGCGAGAGCGCCTCCCAGGGGCGCGCTGGCGGAGCTGAAGGCGCCCACGCCGCTGCACCTCCGGCTGGAGACGCACGCGCCGCCGCGCCTCCAGGGAGCCCGCGGGGGAGCGAGGGCCCGGGAGGATGGTTTGGGGGGGGGCGGGGAGCGAGGGAGATCCGGGAGAATCGAGGAGGGTCGAGGGTCGAGAGTGAGAGCAGGAGGATCGGGGAGGGTCGAGGAGGGTCGAGGGTCGAGGAGGATCGGGGAGGGTCGAAGAGGGTCGAGGGTGAGAGCAGGAGGATCGAGGAGGGTCGAAGAGGGTCGAGGAGTATCGCGGAGGATCGAGGAGGGTCGAGGGTACAAGCGCGTGCGAGAAGCCAAGCCTCGCGAGAAGCTCGCGCGAGGAGTGGGCAGTGTGCCGGCAGCCCTTCGCGGGCGAGGAGGGTCGAGGAGGGTCGAGGGCCGAGGAGGGCTGATCGTGGGGGGCATCGAGGGGGGATCGAGGAGGGCCCAGGAGGGCCGAGGGTCGAGGAAGGACCGTGGGGGATCTGGAAGGATCGAGGGTCGAGGAGGGCTGGTAGTGGTGGGCACGGAGGGGGGATCGTGGGGGGAATCGAGGAGGGCCGAGGAGGGTCGAGGGTCGAGGAGGGAGCGAGGGGGATCGAGGGGGGATCGAGGGTCGAGGGTCGAAGGGGGGAGCCGAGGAGGATCGGGGGCCGTGGGCGGTCGAGGGGGATCGGCGGGGACGCCGCCGTGCGACGACGGCCAGGGGCAACCCCCCCCGGGCGTCGGGCGCTGGAGAGGCGGGGGGGGGCTCCTCCTCCTCCTCCTCTTCCTCCTCCTCCTCCTCCTCCTCCTCCTCCTCCTCCTCCTCCTCCTCCTCCTCCTCCTCCTCCAGCTGCCGCCTCGGCTTGCAGGGCTGCGCAGCACACTAGGCCATGAAACCACATCTTATGGCCTTTTACCTCCTCCCGACAGGGGTCCTCGGCCAGCGCCATGGGATCTCGAATTCTCTCTGCCATGGTCTACAACCCTCTCCATGCTTGTGGTGACCGTCTCAGTGATCTTATCTCGGAATTGGGTGCTTTTGATCTGGTGGGCCTTCCAGGCACGCAGCTTCGTGAGCACGATCGTGAAGGGTATCGGGTACAGCGTCTTGGGGAGCGACTGGCAGTTCATGCGGGATGGAGGGCAGGAGGTTTTGTGACACGTGCTGCGGGATGCTCTCTGCTGCTGCCCAAGGCCTGGACCCAACGTAACATACGAAAAATACATGTGCCCCCTGGACCTCTGCAGGGTCGTGGTTTAGCTGTCGAGTTATCCAGGGGAGGTTTCCTGTACATGGTGATCGTTCTCTATTTCCCCCCGAGGCCCTCCAGAGCTTCACAGGTCAAACAGTCTATCACGTGCTGTGGAAAAATGAAGGAGTGGGTTCGTGAGTGTCTTCGGGGACTGCCCTCTAGAGTTCATCCTATTCTCATGGGGGACATCAACGACGGTCTGGGCACCAGTAAGGTCTCTGGGGACTGGGTCGATATTGATACTCCTAGTATTGGGCGCGTTCGAGGTAAAGAACACCATAGAGGAGGGGCAGGTGAGAGCTTTCGGGAAATCATGCACGAGTTCGGTTTATTTTCTCCAACGACAATCCGTTCATTCTGTCCGACATATTATGGCTCTAAAGGGGGTGCGTCGATGATTGATCATGTAGCCCTACCACTCTACTGGTCTGAACAGATTACGTGTGCTAGCCCAATACATCGACTTGGTAGGCGATTACAGGTTATCAAATGTGCTGAACCCCGTGACCACATACCTGTACTTGTGAAAGTGCGTGTGCCCCATGTCTCAATTGCTCACCAACGTGCTGCTGAACTCAAGCCTGATGGCAGGCCCCTTGAGCAAGTCCAGTGGGATCGTGATAAGCTCATGCAGGCGATCCGAGGCGGCCCGTTGCGGGAGCAGTTTATGCGTAGTGTGGAGCCTTTGCTTGAGCAGGAATGGCCAAATATTGAACATGCATGTCTTGATCCCAATATTGTGCTTGACAGGTTTGATCAAATTCTCCGAACTGCTGGTGCTGCTGTATTCAAGAAGGGGCCTGCTGCAGGCTCGACTCGCTCGGCTCTTGCTCAACGTCGACTGGATCTTCTGGCTCGGCGACGGGATCTTCGGTCAAAGTTGGGGGAGGGCTTATCGAGTGGGGAGTATGTTACATGCTGTGAAGAGCTAACTCGATCGACAAATCAGTGTAAGGCCCTATACAAAGCAGATCAGCAACGGCGGCGAGAACAACTTGTTGAGGAGATCTGGACCTCTTGGCGTAGTCGTGACTTGGCCAGCGTCAATCGGCTTTCACTTCGACTCGCAGGTGGACGGTATGGTAAAGCCACACGGGACTTCAGTCGTCTTGATGGTATGCTTCCAACTGGTGATGAATGGTTCTCTCACTTATCTCAGGCCGGCTGTGATGGCGGGCTTCAAGCATCAAGAGCGTGCTGGGATGATATGGCAGCTTTGCAGCAGCTGTGGACTCGGCCTGCTCCTACCCCTGAACAGTTTGATGAGCGAATGCAACAAGCGTGGGCCAAGTCTATTATTGATATGGAGCAGATTGAACGGTATTTCAAGCGTGCGTCCAAGCGGCGCAGTGTTCCTGGATGTTCTTTACCTTTAGAATTGTGGCTTCTCTCCATTCGTACGCCTGCTGAGCGCGAGAGCGGAGTTCGAAGCGCAATGTCGGGGAACCAACAGGATGCTCGTCCAGGACTGGGTACTGACCGCACGACCACTGATGGAGTTTATTGTCGGAAGTGGTTGTATAACATATTTTGTATGACTCGTTTCTGGGGTATCATTCCAGGTTTGTGGAACGTTAGCAAGTGTTTTGCTTTGCCCAAGGCGGCTGCGCCTGGACCGAAAGGAAAAAGGGCAGTGCACGGACTTGATCCGGTGGGAAAAGGGTTCTTCGAGGGCCTGATGCGCATCGGACCGAAATATACCGACTCTGATTGCGATCGCGGTTTCTTGAGAGCCCGTCGTCGTGAGGATGCGATTGTTACCAACATGTGTTTCTCATGGCGCCTCTCTCAGGCAGGGTATTCTTGGGTCGACTCTCTGAAAGACCTCTCCAACGCCTTCGCGTCGTCGAAGTGGGAGGCGCTCGATCAGGCCACTCGTACCCTCGTGCAGCCCAGGGACTTGAATCTTTGTCGTCAGCGATTTCGACGAGCAGGATGTGTTTTGCCTGCTGCCGACGGTCCCCTTTTTCTCCGGCCTGGGTGCGGGTCCCTCCAGGGTGATCCGTATGCGGTTCGATCGTTCGTCCGCGTCTTCCGCCCACCAGTCGATAGATGGCTAGAACGCTGTGCGGAGGCCGACCCCGAGAGCGAGCAGCTGATGTGGTCCGGGATCCCCGAGGCCATGATCCCAGGGGCGCCCCAGGTGTACTTAGGTCTCCAGAAGTTCGCAGATGATCTCCTGAAGAAGCTGATTGTAGGCCCCCCATTCAACTTAGATCGGTTCCTGAAGGCTCTTAGAGACAACGACGAGTTTTTGGATCAGGAGCTTGACAAGATAGGTTTGAAGAGGAATAAGAGTAAGCAGGAGGCGCTTCTACGGGTTCCCCAGAGCTCCAAGCGCGGCGCAGCTGCGGCCCTCAGAGGCCTTGAGACGCGTGTGACGGATGAGGTGCGGTACCTGGGGCCGTTCCTGACCCCCACCCAGAGCTTCAGCGTCGAGCTTGTGAAACGGATCAAAGCCATGAAAGGTGCGTTTTACAGGATGCGGCAGTTCTGGTTCCAGAAGGGGGTGCCGTACAGGTGGAAGAGATGTGTTCTGCTGTGTCACGTAGTCAACACAGCGCTTGCTGGTGTAGAAGCTTTTGTGCCTACGGCGTCCCAGTTGCAGACTTTGGATCTTGCTGTCGGAGGTCTTGCCAGAAAAGCAATGCGTGGCGAGGCCAGCTGGGAGGAGGAGGACGGACGACGACGATGTCTTTCCACTCGTGAGGTGTATCAGTGGTGGCGCCTCTCTCCTCTTGCCAGCGAACTCCAGGTCCGTCGTCTGCGCTGGCTGCAGGCATGTGTGCGACGTCCAGGATCGCACAAGCAGATGCTGGCGGCTATATTTGGCTCTCTCCCTCTTGAGCATACCGAGGTTTTCACGGAGAACGGGTCTCTTGGGATTAACGCGAACCCGTGGGCCTTGCAGTTCCAGGGGGATCTTGAGGAGCTCGTCAAGTGGAGCGATGACGCGGCCTCGTGTTGGGCCCGTGCTGGAGGTTCGATTTTGGGGCTTTTCGACTTCGAGGTTTCTCAGGTTTTCGTGAAGATTGATGTTCGGGTACTTCGTAGTCGACATTTCGATGTTGAAGTTGCTCCCCCTGGCCTCCAACCAGCAGATCCCGAGGCTCTCGAAGAAGGTGCTTTAAGTGTTTCCGTGGATTTCAGGTGCCCGTGGACCGACGAGAATGGCCCCTGTGGGGCTTCGTTCACTTCGCGGAAGGGGCTGGTCAACCACCTGCGCTTGGTCCACAACTCGTCCAAGCTCTCTCAAGTGTTGACGGTAACGAACCAGTGTGTTTCTTGCAAGGAGGTCTTTTGGGACCGAAAAAGCGCACCAAAAAAACACCTTCACGGAGCCATTAACTTCGGGCGCTGCTTGGCCAACAAGGCTTCCACGCTGAGGCCGCTGATTGAGCCTGAGTCCGTCATCGTTTGTGGGGTCTGCGGTTCAAGCTGTACATCCTTGTCTCTCTACAACGAACACGCTTGTACCCACTTGCCCTACCAGCTTCGCATACAGCCTCTTAAGGATGCCAGGCGACGACTGGGATGTCGAGATGTTCGGCGAGGAGCGGCCAGTGTGGGCCATGACGGTGTGCGGCGTGAAGCGCCCTGCCCCGCCCGAAGGCGGCGATCGCTCGAAGCAGGCCAACGTAGGCCAAGGCTCAGGCTCTCAGGAAGTTGCCCAGACAGGCCGCGGCGCCAAGTCCAACAAGGAGCTCGAGGAGCTCGCCGAGTTGACGGCGCGCCTGGCGTTGATCACGGCACGGGAGCAGGCCCTTCTCGAAGGCAGCGTTCTCGAGACTTACCTCGTCCCCGAGCTCCACTTCCTCTCGAAGGCGGGCATCGAGGCGAATCGCTTCTACACCGGCGCCGTCGCCGGCCTGAAAGAGCAGAAGAAGACAGACGACAGCGTCGACTTAGGACAGCTGGGCCCTCCGTTCGTTACTGTTTTCTTTATGGTGATGGCGGCTGCGGTCAAGGCGGCGCAAGGTGCAGCTCAGGAGCCCATGGCGAACTTCTTCCAGACGCACGTCAAGGGCCAGCCAGCAGAGCACATCACACAGTACGTCACGCGCTTCTCGATCAAAGTACCGAGGGGCGAGCACACCAGCGCCGAGATGAAGGGCATGGTGAAGTTCCAGGTGCACATCCAAACCGCGCGGCCCGCAGGCGTCGTGCTTCGCGAGATCCTCGACCGCATTCTCTCGGAGGCAGGCGCCGAGAGGCTCGTCGGCTCGGCCCCGCGCGGGCCCCTCGAGCGCAAGATTGGCCAGCTGTTGAGCAAGCGGTGAAACCTTCAGTTGATGCTGATCAAGCTCGAATTCGCAGTCAGAGTTTGGATGGAGATATCATTCGTTCCCAGCAGCCTGGTTGCCAACCATTCTTGGGCCCAATTCATTCTTCAGCTGTGGGTGCAGCTGATGATAGTCGTGCTCAGGGTAGTGGTGCGCTCCAGTCTGACCAGATGACCGAACAGACGAATGCTGAGACCCTTTTTGGAGATGATAGTTGCACAGGTTGCCAACCGTTCATTGGGCCAATTAATTCTGATGTTGTGGGTGGTCATTCAGATATTCCTCAAGCGAGTACTGCTAGTGCAAACATTATTGAAGATACCGATTCGCGTGTTCATTTACCTCATGAGCGATTTCTTGATAGGGGACGTCACCCTCAGTACTGCCCCGAGCGGGCAGACCTCGTCCTGTCCTACCTCAGTTCGGCTGGAGATCGGCGGCAATTCAATGCTTGGACACACCTCGTTCGAAACGCAATGTCGGGGAACCAACAGGCTCCGCAACACCTCGTTCGAAACGCAATGTCGGGGAACCAACAGGCTTCGGTAAGGGATGAGCGGTCGTCGTCGGCTCCACGGAGTGAGCCTGCCCGTTCTGTCCCTCCTACTCCTTCCTCCAGCCCCAGGAGGTCCGCAGCAGGACCTCGCCTCCGCCCCAGCTCTCCCTGCCGAGCGCTCTGCAGAACAGCGAGCGCCTCCGCGCGCTGGTGAAGCGCGGGGTCATCAAGGACTGCCGTGCCACGGGGAGGGACTTTTTTTGTGGTTCGGGCGGGGGCGGGGGTGGAGGGGGAGGAGGGGGAGAGAGCGGCTGCTGCTGCGACCGATCGTGCCGAGGGGAAGGCGGCGAGCTCGTCCGAAGTGAGGAGTGTCCGTCCGAGGCTGTCGGTTCGCGGAGCCTTGAATTCGAGACGTCGCGGTTAGAGGTTGACTGGCGCCCGCAGGCAACCCAGCGCGGCACTCCGCGCAATGGGTGCGCCTTTGGGGCCAGTGGGGGCTGTTCCCTCCAGCGAGGGCCCCCCATCGAGGGTTTGGATTTGTTGGGCTATGCCCCACGCGGGGATCTAGTTTTGTTCTCTTCTCCCCGCAGGCCTGTGTAGGCCCCTGCAAAGCTGTCCGTCTGACTTGGATTGATCCCCAGCGTCTCTTGGTCTTGGTCCTCCTCCTCCTCCTCCTCCTCCATTCCTTGTCCTTTTTAATATTAAACATCGATTCTCTCTGTCGCACCCCGAGGCTAGTTTTTAGTGCGGGCCAGCGTTTTCGCCTGAGACTTCCTCACAATGTATGACCCTGGAGCTTAACAACTGGCAAGAGTTTCACACATTGAAGGTGGATGGTTTTCAAGATATGGCTCTCGCCGTAGCGCCACGCACATTCGTTTTAAACATTGCAAGAGGTTCTCGGAATGAGGGCGGGTCGTTTTCAAAATGTGGCTCTCGCCCTAGCGCCGCGCACATGTCCTTGGCAACGCAAGAGCTTCACATATTGAGGGCGGGTGGTTTTCAAAATGCGGCTATTGCGTTAGCGCCGCGTGCATTCGTTGAAACATTTGCAAGAGCTTCACGGATTGAGGGCGGTTCTTTTTCAACATGTGGTTCGTTTTAGCGCTGCGTGCATTCGTTTCAAACATTGCAAGGGTTTCATTGAATCCCATGCTCAACGTACCAGAAATAGTGCTTTGAGAGGATTCAGGATTGTGCGGGTGCAACAGTTATGTTGGCTCGCGGTGTTGAAGTCCCAGGAATGACGTTTTGGTAGAATTCAGGATCGCCAAGACGCAACAGTCAGGTTGACCCGTGACATTGGAATCCCGCGAACAGTTGTCTTCCAACGAGGCAGTTCCTTTAGTAGAAATGGACCGTTGTACGGGCTTATGCGGAGGGAGCTTGGAGGGAGGGTTTATTCCAGCATCGTTGATGGAATTGTGGTTTTACACTGGTCCTCCTCCTCCTCCTCCTCCTCCTCCTCCTCCTCCTACACTGGCCCTCCTCCTCCTTTTCCTCCTCGTGGAGGAAGAGAGGAACATGGATGTTGAGGCCTCGAGTTTCATCCCGCCTGCCCAGCTTTGGAGGGCAGCAGAGTCCTCACGCCTGACGAGCTGGGGAGGTGGAGGCAAGGGAGGAAAAAACACCCAGACCCGGACAATCTGCGTTTACTGAACGGCTCTGGGCATTTCCTAGAGCCTTGCCCTGCTCGATTCCTTCCTTGGGCGCGTTTACCAAAAAGCTTTGCTCGTCGGGTTGCTTCTTATCGGTTTCCCGTTCCCTATAGAGGGCAGCGGAGTCCTCACGCCAGACGAGCGGGGGAAGCCAGGTGGACGCGAGAGTCAAGCAGTGGCGACGCGTTCTGGCTTGCCCAAGGCCCGCCAAAGAATGCTCTAAGAACCTAGCATTGTTTGCACGAAGTGTTCTTAGGCCAGTTCTGACTGATATTGTTTTGTTTGAGTGCATCTGGCTTTTGTTTTAAGAACATTGCTGCTGTGATTCGAACACTGTTGGCTTCTAAGTCATTTTCGTGGTAGGCCGATCGGAATGCTGGGACGGTCGGTCTCTTCTCAAGAGAGGGGCCTTCCAAAGTCCAGCGCCCTTCGCGCATTGCTCCCGCGGCAGCGCCGCGCCGCGCGGCGCGCGCTCGCCGCCCCGCCCGCCCGCGCGGCCTGCCCCGGCGTGCGCGACGCCGATGCCGACGACGCCGACTGCGACGACGCCGACGACGACGACGACGCTGTCGCCGACGCCGACAACGACGACGCTGACGCCGACGCCGACGACGACGCCAACGCCGACGACGCCGCCGACGACGACGACGGCGACGACGCCGACGACGAAGAAGAATGACGACGACGTCCTTCTGGGGAGCCCCAGGGGGGCCCGATGCCGATGTACGCACACAAACATACACACACACACACACACACTTTTTAAGTCAGCGGCTAGGCCGACTTTGCGGCCGTAGCGGCATCGCGCGCAGCGACGAGGCCGACTGAGTAGCACCACTAAGCGCGCGGGCGCGGCTTGGCCCTCAAGAGTCGCTTTGGGTTTCCACGCAGTTGCCACCATACAGCACATTCAGGGGTGGATGGCAGTCGATGTACACACATCCGAAGGGCCGAATGGATACGGTAGGTTCGCATCGTGTTGACCGGCGGCGACCCCGCCGCTGGCGTTCAACGTTGAACGCCGCCCGTCGCTGGCGTTCAACGTTGAACACCGCCAGCGACCCAGAATCCCTGAAGTTTCGGAAATGGCCTATCGTTCAAGGTTGAACGATCCTTGCGGTGCCAGAAACCAACGCCAAGGTCGACACGACGCGAACTGCCGTACGGAACGACTGGTGATGAAGACGGACAGCATTTCGTATTCATTTTGAGCAGGAGTTGCTGTCGGCGTCGCCGCGGGCGCTGTCCACTGATACAATGTCGCCTGCCCAACTGCGGCCGCTGTCGGTTTTGGACCACATTTGCTGCTGGGTTTCGTACTTATTTCTGTCGGAGTAGATGGGGTCTGCGGCCCGATGCGCAGCCCGACTTAGTCTACGCCGTTGGCGCCGATGCATCGCCGACGTTCCTGGTGCATCGCCAAAGCATTGCCGATGCGTCGGCGATGCGGCGCTATCCTCCGACCCCATGTACTCTGATCCAATTTAGGAGACCCCTACACACCGCGTCGTGTGGTCGTCCAAGGAGCCAATGAGCTCGGCGACGGAATTCACTGAATGGACGCTCCACGACGAGCTCCTTGGCCGACCAAGCGACGTGATGTATGGAAGACGCCTACGGCGAATCACCGCAACCCTCTGCCTTTTGGAAGCGCCAAATGTGGCCGAACGTTGCGGCCAGAGCTCGGCCAAGCTATCGAACTATGTGTTCCCCTGGGAGTGGTGGAAACCATTCGGAGAACACGTGCGAGGGAAAAAAGAAGAGGAGGAGAGGGAGGAAAAATAAGGAGAAGGAGGAGGAGGACGAGGACGAGGAGGAGGAGGATGAGGCCTCTTGGGAGCCTTTTGGGGCACTATGTTAGCCTCCTGTGAGCTTCCTGGTGGTCTCTGGGAGGTTCTTGGGGGCCTCCGTGGGCCTCTTGGGAGCCTGTGGAGGGTCCTTAGGAAGGAGACTCTTCGGCTGTCCGAGGGCGCTCCTGGCTCGTCTTCCTGGGGGCTCCTCTGGGCCAAGTTCGGACCCACTTGGGGCGCTTCAGGGCCGTCGCGGAGGCCATCTTGGGCGTCCTGGGTGTTTTCTGGGCCGTCTTGCGGCCCTCTTGGGGCCATATTGAGGCCCTCTTGGGCCGTCAGGGGCCATCTCTGAGGCCTCCTGGGCGCCCTTGGAGCCATCTTAGTTGCTTCTGGGGCCGTTGTCGGACCATCGGTATGCCGAAAATTAGCAAACGCCCAAATCCTTCAAACACCTAAGGGGAATCAATGATTTCGACCTCTGCGGGCCTTCCTGGTGGTCCTCTTGGAGGCCTCTCTGGGCCGTCTTGGATGCCTCTTGGGCGTCTTGGAATTTCTCCTGGACCGTCTTGAGGCCCTCTTGGGGTCATGTCGTGGCCGTCTTCGGCCGTTAAGGGGTCATCTCTGATGCCTCTTGGGCGCCCTTAGGCCATCTTGGTTGCTTCTGGGGCCGTCTTTCGTGGACGGTCGGTAGGCCGAGGATGAGCAAACGCCCAAATCCTTCAGACACCAAAGGGCAATCCGATGGTTTCGACCTCTGCGGGCCTTCCTGGAGGTCCTCTTGGAGGCCTCATCGGCCGTCTTGGAGGCCTCTCGGGTCGTCTCGGGCGATCTTGAGGCCATTGGGGCCATCTTGGGGGCATCTCGGCCCGTCTTGGAAACATCTTGGGGCTATCTTGGGTTCTCTCGGGCCATCGGAGCAGTCTTGGAGACCAGATTGGCCGTCTTGGAGGCCTTCTGAGGGCCGCCTGGAGCGGGAAGACAGACCAACGTTCTAGGAAGTTCTTGTCGGTCCTCGCGTTGGCGGGTTGTCTGAGTTTCCCCTCGTTGTGCGTCCTTCTGGGTGGCCGGCGGGTTGGGCCGAAGGCCCCTGGGAACCTCGAAAAGAGAACTAGGAACTATCTCAAATCTGGCACGCCGTGCCCCTGGTGGCAAGCCACAGGGGGGGCCGGATCAAAGAACGCCTGCGGCGAATCACCGCCGCCCCCTGCTTTTCGGGAGCGCCTACGTGGCCGACCGTTGCGGCCAGAGCTCGGCGAAGAGCTTGTTTTTTTATTGCTCGGACCCGTGCCGTAACGCCCGTTACGGGGGGGGGTCCCCCCCCCCCCCGTAATTGTAACGAGCGTACGGGGACGGGGGTGCGGACCCCCCTCCGTCCAGGCAGGAATGCTGTGACGCTCACATGTGTGCTCAGGTTCGAGGTTCGAGGTTCGAGGTTCGAACCTCGGCGCAAACTCAAAATGGGTCCACGGGGCCCGACTGGGGCTCAGACGCACCAGTTTCCCGAGCCGCGTCCAGCCGCGGCGACGACGAAGGCCCTCGAGGGCCAGGATGCCTCGATCCTCGAGGTTCGAGGTTCGCATCCCTCGGCGCGAACCTTTCAACGGGTTCCGGCCTGGCCCGTCCACCTCCTTTGCCTTGCTTCTGCACTCCCTCCAGTGCTCGTGCCCTCCACCTCCTCTCACCTCCTGGGGGGAGGGGGGAGCGAGGCAGAGGGAGGAGGAGGAGGAGGAGGAGGACGAGGAGGACAAGGAGGGTTGGAACAGGATCGGAGGAGGAGGTGATGGGGGATCGGAGGAGGGGCATGAGGAGGAGGAGGGGGCAGAAGAGGAGGAGGAGGAGGAGGAGGAGGAGGAGGAGGAGGAGGAGGATGGATGATCGGAGGGGGATCGGAGGAGGAGGGGGATCATCTTCCTCTGGTCCCTCCGAGCGCCCTCCTCCGATCATACTTCTCCGATCCTCCTTTCACCTTACAGGTGTACACAAGCTTTGTGGTGTACGCTGGCATTCTGGTGCAAACACGGGGCGTTGAAACAGCAGCTGTGGTGCACGCGGGCGCCGTGGTGTGCACCAACAGTGAGATGTACAAGGGCGCTGTGGTGCACCCGCCTGTCATGATGTGCTCAGTCGCCGTGGTGCACACACACATACCATTTCTGCCGCAGTTGTGGTGTACAAAGGCATCGCGGTGTACAGAGCCTGTGTAGTGTGCACAGGCACGGTCGGCTTCGACGACGACGACAGCGGCGACGACGACGACTACGACGACGAAGCCTACCGTGCCGACAGTTGTGCTGGTAATAAGTACCAGGGCCCGTGCGAGGGCCCCGCCGCGCGTTACCGTTACCCCCAACTTGGGGCCAGACCCCCCCCCCGTAACGGGCGTTACCCCCCCAATAAAAAAACAAGCTCGAAGCTATCGGCCAGCCAAAATCGCCAGGGAAAATTCTCAATTAGTGCCTCTTCGGGCCTTCCTGGAGGTCCTCTTGGAGGCCTCTTCGTCCGTCTTTTGGGCATCTTGTGGGGCATCTCCGCCCGTCTTTGAGGCATCTCGGGGCCATCTTGGGCCCTCTTGGGGCCATGGTAGCCGTCTTGGAGACCGTGTCGTTATGTTGGAGCTGCCTGGAGAGGGAAGACCGATCTTGGGAAGCTCACGGGTCCTTCGGTGTTGGCGCATTAGGGCGTAGGTCCTCTAGAAGCATCAAACACAACCAACAATTACCTGAAATTTGGCACACCGTGCACCCGTGTGGCAAGCCAACAGGGGGCGGCGGACGACGGAAAGCACGCGTAACGTGCGATCCGTTAGTCGGAAGAAATGAAACTAGGGGGAGTTTGAGGGAGGTGGCATCTGCACTGCAGGGTCTACCGGCCCGCCCTTATCCCTGTTAACTGGGCCCTTAACAGGGAAAATCGGGTGCGTTACTGGCCCGCCCGTTTCCCTGTTAACGGTCCGTTAACTGTTTCCCTGGCACCCCTGTTCTTTTTTAACGGAGATCTTAACAGGGAAAACCAAGTGCTTAACAGGGAAAATCGGGTGACGGATGCGTTTACCTTTGTTAACGGACCGTTAACAGGGAAAGTGCACGCTCAGGTCCACTGGCTAGGCCCCCCTACGAGACGGCCCAAGAGGTACCCAGTACGGCCGTCGGACAGTGCTCGGACGAGGATGTCTCCGTTCCAGAGCGTTCCGGAACGCTTTCAGAGCGTTCCAGAGCGCTCCGAGAAGGCCGCGGCGCCCGAGGCATCATCCAGAGCCGCCGGATCTCAGAGACTCTCGATCTACGGTCACACCGCGAAGAGTAAGCGTGGGCAGCCTTCCCAAGGGTACCCTTGCAGCCTTGCCCCGTCGGCCCATCCTTTTGGCGACTCTCGCTGGCGAGCCTCGTTCGAGAAACGTTTGGCCCTCCAAGGCCCCTTGCATCCTTAACCGCGTACCCTTCTGACACGGGTTGACCCGGCGTGTGGCCGCGCCCGGCAGCGGGGGAGCCCCACAGGAGCGGCCGTGCGTGGAGGCCCACCCGTGGAGCGTGGCAGTCAGAGTGGGCGAGCTCCAGGCGGGCCTTCGCGCGCGCGCGCGTCGTGGAGGGCGTGGGCCCTGCCAGCCTGCGGGCCGACCCGTCGCTGGGAGGCCTTCGATCCTTGGGCGCGCAGCGGGCGTCAACTGCGCGGGCCAGCAGGAGCCCCCCGAGGCGCCGCCCCGGAGCACGAGGGCAGCGATCGTGCACACAGTGGAGGCCCATGCCAAGGAGCACCCCGCTTGCCTCCAGGGTGCCCCGGGCACCTTGGGTTTTGATGATTCTGCTCTGGGAAGCGTGACGTGCTCACACCCGAAGTCGAGGGACGTCCTCCTGGGGTCTCAGGGTTGGGTTTTGCTGTGGAAGGTCTCTTTCGGGCCGGGCGAAAGGGGGGGATTGGGAAAGGGGGGGTTACGAAATTTGCTGCATGCAGCTGGTTTCGGCCTCACCGAGGGGCCCATTCCTCGATACATAGCCGCCTCCCGGCGCCGGGAGGCGCCGGGAAAATCGGCTACGGGAGCTGATTCTCAAACCCCCCCTTTGCTATCCCCCCCTTTCGCCCGACCCGACTCTTGTGGTCGAGCTCCTGCTTTAGGGGTGGCGGCTTGGACCCCGCCCCGCTCCGAGATGCTGGAGCTCACGCGCCTGATGTGGCGATCGCAGCGCACCCCCGCCTCGAGACGCGCCCCACCCCGCCCAGGCGTTACCGTTGCCCGCGGCCCCAACCGCTTCCACCCCCCCCCTGGGTACCATGTGGGAGGACGGAGGGAGGAAACATCGTCATAAACATGAACCTTTGGCGCTCCGCGCGGATTTCTTTGATCCGCGCTGGGCCCCCCCCCCCCGCCCCTGGCGCGCTCCGCGCGGAGGGGAGCGTTTTTGCGCTCTCCAGGGAGGCGTCGGGGGAGCGGGGCAGAGGCGCGAGGGGACAGGCGCAGGGGGGAGGGCGGACGGCGGCCCGGAGCACGATCCACACCGACCGCCCACAGGGGGGGGGGGAGGGTGGGGGGCGGCATCGGTGCCCCTGTCTCGCCCGGCAGCTACGACCCGCGATGCGCTGGCGATTTCCCCATCGATGGTTGCCATCCTCTTTCTTGTGCCTTTCGCTTCCCCGCCTTCCCCTGAAGGGGCGGGGGGGAAGGAAGGGTTTGAGGGAGGGGGTGGAAAGGGGACGGGGGGGGGAACGAGGCGGGGGAGCAGCAGCTGGGGTATGGGGGAGGAGTGATGGGGAGGACGGCAAGCTAAGTGCGCTCGCGCCACATTTGACATCCTATCCCTTTCTCCGCTCCCTTCCAATTGCGCTGATTTGTTCGCTATCCGCGGACGCGTGTCATAGCCGACCTTGAACTCAGAATAATAGCCTGTCCCGTCATCGCATGCGCAATCAGAAAAAGGGGAGCTGCACACCTATATGGAAGAGGTGGCGTGTAAGCAGTTGGATTTGCACGATCAGGAGGGCAAGGGGGAGGCAGAGGAAGGATTAGGACGAGGACGAAGAGCAGCAGCAGCAGAAACTGGAGTGGAATGAGTGGAAGGAGCAGGAGGACCGAGTGAAGGTGTGTGAGGGGAAATGAGGGGGGCGACAACGATGACAGAGGACTCGGTTGCAGAAGAGTTTCCCAGGCTGGGGCGATAGCGCTATTCTGAACGACGGGAGCAAAGCGCCGATCCGAACATGAGGCATACACTGCAACGGGAGTATGAAATTGAAACGCTGACAACTACCGGATTGCAAAACAACACGCATACAGCACACACAACAATTCGGCACAACCCTCTGTCTAAAGAACAAAACGCAGAGGGTGGGGGAGATCTTTCGGACAGGATCAGGGGAGAGAGAAGAGTAGTATTCATGTTGTGTAATGTTGGAGGGGGAGGAAAAAGGGAGGTTGGCAGGGAGGGAGGGGGGGGGAAATGGAGGGATGATGTAGGGGAAGGATGGATTGGGAGGGCTGTTTCCCCCCGGGCTCTTCTAGAGCCCCGATGAACCCCCTACTCATCTAGAACCGAACCATGCTCGTCTTGCTCTCTAGGTCCCCCTCTGGCCACCAAAGGTTCCCCGAACTTGGGCGGAGGAGGAAAACAGTGGAAACCCAAGCCAAGGAACACCCTGCTTGCCTCCAGGGTCTCCTGGGTATCTTGGGTTTCGATGGTTTTGCTATGGGAGGCGTGACGCTCCCACACCAAAATCAACGGACGTCCCAGGGTCTCAGGTTTGGGTTGCTTGTGGAAGGTCTCTCGTGGTCGAGCTCCTACCGCAGGAGGAGGAGGAGTAGTAGAGGAGGTGGAGGAGGTGGAAGAGGAGGAGGAGCTCCTACGGGAGGAGGTGGAGGAGGTGAAGGATGAGGTGGAGGTGGAGGAGAAGCAGAGGAGGCGAGGGCCGCTGAAGGGAGGGCGGTCTGGCCACGCCCTCCATTCTGGCTGGGCCCTCTCTGCAGCCTCGAGCCCGAGCCGCCCCATGCTGCGCCTCCTGTGGATGGTTGGCGCAAGAGGGAGGAAGGGGGGGCTTCGGACTCGGCCGAGTGCGTTGCTGCTGCTATCCGATGGTCGGCGGCGTGCCCGGGGGGGCAGTGAGGAGGAGAAGGCCCTCTCAGAAGACCCGGAAGTCCCCCCGGACTTCCCGAGAAGTTCTCGAAGCCTTCCCTGGAAGACACAGGGCGCTTCTCAGCAGGCGCGAGGGGTTTCCGAGCAGTCCCGCCGTCTTCCCTCCTCCTCCTTCTCCTCCTCATTCTCCTCCTCTCCTCCTCCTCCTCCTCCTCCTTCTCCTCCTCCTTCTCCTCCTCCTTCTTCTCCTCCTCCTTCTCCCCTCCTTCTCCTCCTCCTCCTCCTTCTCCTCCTCCTTCCCTCCCTCCTCGCTTCCCCACGGGCTCGCCGCCGGGCTGGGCCCCGGGGGCGGGAGGCCGCTGGGCCCCCCAGGCTCCAGGGCATGGCGCCCCTGGCCCCCCCTCGTGGAGGCACGGGGGAGGCGTGGAGGGCGGCGGGGGAGGACAGGGGGCCAGATGCGAACCCTACCCCTTCCCCCCACGATTTCTGAGGGGGAGGGTGGGGTTCACTTCGCTTGGGAGGGGCAGGGGTAGGGTTCGCATGTGGCCCCCGAGAGGAGGCACGCCGAGAGTCATGGGCAGGTCTCCCGCCCGCCACCACCACAAGTTGGAGGGGGGGAAGGAGGAAGAGGAGGAGGAGGAGGAGGAGGAGGAGGAGGAGGAAGAGGAGGAGGAGGAGGAGGGAGCTCCTACGGGAGGAGGTGGAGGAGGAGGAGGAGGGCGAAGGGGAGGTGGACGAGGAGGAGGAGGAGGAGGAGGAGGAGGAGGAGGAGGAGGAGGAGGAGGAGGAGGAGCCCCTCCCCCCCTCCAACCTATGGTGGTGGTGGTGGTGGTGGTGGTGGAGAACAGGCTCATCAGAGATTCCTCTCCCACTTTGCTCCGCCCCATCTCTTGCCGCCGGCCGGTTTCTTTGCTGGTTGTGTCGAAAGGGGTGTTGGGACGTGCGTAAAGAGCCGTTTGCCTGTCCTGCCAGGCCTTGGAGTGCTCTCGCACGCCGCCCAGTTCAGGGCACCAGCCGCTTCTACGAGCGTGCCCCCATGCGTACAGAAGGACATGCATGATATCGCCCCGTTACTCTTGATGCCCCGACAGCTCTGAGAGCACCCTCTAAGACGATTCAGGGATTATGCCTTCTGTTCTTGGAGGCCGTACTTTCAACACTCATCGAACTGTTCGAGATGGGGCAGCACTAATGATACGTTGAATCGGCTATTTGCTCACCTTGCAGTCGGAGGAGCCTCACACGCGTCTGTTTGTCCTGGGCGTAGCAGTTTCTTGTCCGAACTGCAGTGGCGCCCGACAGTGTGGCGACCACACCGCGTGATGAGTCAATGGGGATTCGGGGTCACCGCTCGGCTCCGGGAGTCGGGCCGTTCTCTCCGAGGGCGCCTCGGGGAGTCTCTTGGGATTTCGAGGTCACCGCGCGGTCCGTCACCACACGCATTCGGGGGCCGCCGAGAATTGCAGCACGCATCGTGCTTTCGAAGCTATCCGGAAGGGCTTCCACGCAATCCAAAAGACCCCCAAACGGGCCAAAGAGGGAAGCGTGACCCTGTTCTTCAGGGAGACCGCAGTTGGAAGCAGGGTGGCCCGAGGAAGCCCCCAGATGCCCCCCGGCAGCGCCCAGTAGGCCTCCAGAAGGCCCCCAAAAGCCATCTAAAGTTTCCGTGAGGCCCCCAAGAAGCTCTCCAGAGAGGAGCCTCCGCATTCAGAGCAGAGGAAGACAGGGAAGAATTTGAAGGGGAGGGCCAGAATGAGAAAGTGGAAGAGGAAACTTGAAGGATTAATAGCGAAATCTCGCCAGTGGATGGCCCTGAATACACAAAAGGGGGGGCGTGCTCGCAGAACCCCCCCTCCCCTCCCCCCCTTCAAAGGGGGGGTGAGATTTTCGACCCCCCCCCCCTCCCCCCTTGGCGCTGGAAAGGGGGGGGGTTCGAACCCCCGCCCCCCTTTCCAGCGCCAAGGGACTGGGGAGGGGGCCTCTCGGGCAGTGCGAAGGAATTAAAGTGTTTGTAGTAGCGATTGGTGAGTAGTGGGTATTTGATAGTGCGTAGTGCGCAGTGAGTCGTGAGTGGTGAGTAGTGAATAGTGGGTAATGGGTAGTGGTGGTAGTGAGTAGAGCGTTGAGATTAGTGGGTACTGAGTAGTGAGGAGTGCGTAATGAGTAGCGGGAAGGAAGTAGTGAGCAAGGAATTGCGAGTAGTGAGTGCGTAGTGAGTAGCAAGCAGGGAGTAGGGATGAGGGAGTAGACAGTAGCGAATAGCGAGGAGTGAGTAGTGAGTAGTGAGTAGTTCGCAGTGAGTAGAGAGTAGTGAGTAGTGAGTGGTGAGTAGCGGTTAGCGAGTAGCGAATAGGGAGTAGCGAGTAGTGAGTGGTGAGTAGCGAGTAGGGCGTTGTGAGTAGTGAGTAGTGAGTAGGTCGTAGTGAGTAGTGAGTAGTGGGAGCGTAGTGAGTAGTGAGTAGTGGGTAGTGACTAGTGCGTGTTGGGTAGCGAATAGGGCGTAGGGGGTAGCGAGTAGTGAGTAGTGAGTAGTGAGAGTACTGTGTAGGGCGAAGGGAGTAGAGAGTAGCGAGTAGTGGATAGTGAGTAGTGAGTTGTGGGCAGTGAGTAGTGAGTAGTGAAGTGTGAGTAGTGAGTAGTGGATAGTGGTGGGTGGGTAGTGAATAGTGATCTGCGAGTAGTGAGTAGTGGGTAGTGAGTTGTGTTTAGTGAGTAGCGAGTATGGAGTAGTGAGTAGTGAGTAGTTTGTAGTGAGTGCAGGGAGTAGCGAATAGTGGATAGTGAGTAGTGAGTTGGGGGCAGTGAGTGGTGGGTAGTGAAGTTTGAGTTGTGAATAGTGGATAGTGGTTAGTGGGTCGTGATTTGTGATTAGTGAGTAGTGAACCGTGAGTAGTGGATAGTGAGTAGCGAAAATTGAGTAGTGAGTAGCGCATAGTGAATTGTGGGTAGGGACTAGTGCGTAATGAATAGTGCGTGCTGTTTAGGGGCTAAATTTTGTGTTTGGCGTTTGGGTTACGGGTTAGGGTAAGGGTGAGGGTCAAGCTAGCCAGCTCGAGCGAGTCAAGCATGGCATGCCCATTCCCACTCGCCCTCCCACAACATAAGAAACAGTGATGGCACAACTGGGGGCTGCGCGGGCATTTCAGTGTCGCAGGTCCCAAGGCGCTGACTTCCAGGTCCCAGAGCGCCCCAGGAACGCCCCAAGAGAGCCGAGACGCCCCCGAGACGATCCGAGGGGCCTTGAGTCGCCGAAAGATCGTTCCAAGACGCCCAAGATGGCCTCCAGACGGCCGCAGACGCCGCCAAGAAACCGCGGGGAGCTTCAGGAGGCCCTCCAAGAGCCTGGACAAGCAAAAACCCCCGAGGCATTCGTCACCCCAGGGCCTCCTGGAACGCCCCGGCGCCCAATGAATTGGCGAGCCAGAAACGTGCGCCGAGCCAAAGCGGGAGCGCAACTCGGCGCCCAAGCGGGAAGGTCATTTCATTCACTTCGAGCGGGGGGGGGGGGCGTGCCGCGCCCAATTCTTGCCATGCACTTTTGCGGAGTGGACGACGAGAACAGCAGCATGGCATTGTTTCTGACAAGTAAGGTGGCCGCTCCCGCCTTGGGGTTGCCCCAGAAGTCCGCGCGCGATGTGCGCCGCGCCCCATTCCTGCCACGCATTTCGCATCGTCGACGACAAGACAGGCCATGATGAAAGGAAAAACGGCAACTCTGCATTGTCTTTTACGGTCAGGATGGGAGGGCCCGCAGCCCTCATGGACGTCCGCTCACGTTTTGCGCCGCGCCCCATTCTGCAACATATTTCGCACCGTCGGCGACAAGGCAGGCCATGCTGAGAGGGAAAAATAGAGACTTTCTATTGATATTTTACAGTCAGGATGGGCGGGCCCGGATTAACGGCCGCGCGCGATGTGCGCCGCGTCCCATCTGCCCCGTCCCACTGCTGCCTCAGATTTCGCACCGTCGGCGACAAGGCAGGCCATGCTGAAAGGGAAAAACGAAGACTTTGTCTTGATTTTTTACAGTCAGGATGGGCGGGCCCAGATTGACTGCCGCGCGCGATGTGCGCCGCGTCCCAATCCTGCCACGCTTTTCGCATCGTCGACGACAAGAAAAACAATGTTGAAAAGAAAAACGGCAACTTTGTATTTATTTTTTAAAGTCCGGATGGGAGGTCCCGGAGTGGGTCGCTATCGGCCGTAATAAGGAACAAGGATTAGTGTTAGGGGTGGTGCGGGTCGGGTTCCGGAGACTTGGGGGCGCCGTGGCGAAAAGGGGGGACGGGGGGGGGCTCGAATTTTGCCCAAGGGGGGGGAGGGGGGGGGGTCGGGGGGGGACGACGGATCGGGAAAGGGAGGGGGGGGGTCCCCGACGACGGATCGGGGAAAGGGGGGGGGGGGCTTTCCCCCCCCCCCCCTTTGGGGTCATCCAGCGGCGCGCCTTCTAAATAACGAATGGCAACTCTACGACGACGATGTCGGACAAGGCAACGAGGAGGTATCGCTATTGTTTCTGTTTTACCTTCCAGCCCGTCCGCCGCGAACTCCTGCCTGCACGCCTAACTTCAAGGACCACGGTTCATGGCACGAAACGCCAATCCATTGTTGCACCTATTTATATATATATATATAAGATTCATGCAGGACTTTCGAACACAGCCTTTGGTGCGGGAGCGACTCGGACAGCCTCTTTGTATGCGAACTCTTCGGTTGGGATGCCTCTGTTTGAGGATACATCATGAGGGGCGTGAGAGGAGATAGTCGGGGAGGCACGCCCCTGCTCCGCCTCCGCCCGGTCCTCCCCGTTCGATCCCTCCTTCCTGCCCGCGTCCTCCCCGCATTTTGGTGCGGATTCGCAGGTGCACAAGACGCTCGCCACAGCTGCAGACGTGGAGGCCGGGCGCTCCACGCACTGGACAAGGGTGTGAGCAGCACGGTGTACAGGTTTCGGCGGATTGTCTCTGTCCCCGGAGGGGCTTCAAGGCGCTGTGACGGATCTCGAATTGCATGGGACGGTTCCAGAATTCTCGGAACCAGAAGCGAAACATGGAAAACGTGGTTTGTGTACAAATTACAAGCGTTCCGCGCGTCAACATTAGCTATCGAGCGACCTGGGTTTCGCTAATTTTGTTCTTGGTCTCAGACTCACTGACTTTGCTTTGTGTAGTCTGGTGTCCTCTAGGCATGTGTGGTCCAATCCGAGATGGTCGGTCGATCTCAGTGGAATGTGTGCCGATTTGGTCTTGTCGATCTTATGTGATATGCGATCTGGTCCCACTCAATCGCGGGTGTCAGGGCTCGCAAAGTTGGCAAACAAAAGAAGTACGGTTATTCAAGTGGTCCTGTCTTCTTCTCCTCCCCTTGCTCGATTCCGTACCCATGATCGACCTCCATTATCTTGCCATTGGAGACTTCCCCTTCTGTACACGTTGTCCACGTCCTACCCTCCAGCGCCTCCTTTGTCCAATCTTGAGGCCCCCTGTGCCTCGGATCCCTGGACCCACAGCGTGGGTGGTTCTCAGCATGAGCCATGGGCTCCGCCGCACACGCGCTGTTTGTGCCCTTTGCCCAGGCCCCCCCCCCTGGTAGACGCAACCCGAGCGACCGACCGAGTGCCAGCAACACCACATCAAGAGTCCGCGAGTCCGAACGGCTAGCTCCAGGGCGAATCGGAGACTCGCCAGAAAACAGCACACGCTCAAGTACCGCAGCAGCGAGAGAGAGAGAAGAGAAGAGAAGAGAAGAGAAGAGAAGAGAAGAGAAGAGAAGAGAAGAGAAGAGAAACGAGACAGAGGGAAGGAGGGTAGAAAGGACGAGTCCCCCCCAAGCTCTTGCAGCGGCTCCGCGCCCGCCAGGGCACCCTTGCCCCCCCTCCCTCCTCCTGGCGTCTTCTGGGAGTCGTCTCGGAACACGGGGCCTGTTGCCGGCGCCTCCGTACCCGAACATGTCGCAGGAGCACTTGCAGCCCAGCCGACTCTTCGAGCACGCCCGCGTCTGCCCCGAGGTACCGCGGCACGCGGAGTGGGGCCCGCGACTCGGGATGCAACGCTTGGGAGGTTTCATTCGGCATCGGCGCTGGCAGATCCGCGGTCGAGAACCGGCCTACTCTGGCCCAATCCCGTCGCATCCCACGGAGTCCGGCTTTCTCCTAGCTGATCTGGCTTCATCCTGGGCTCTATCTGGTCGAAATTTGGCCGCATGGCCCCTTCATCGAGCTGCATGGCCCCCGATCGTTCTGACGAGTATCCTGCAGGAGTTGCCTCCCCACGTGCGCTGCAGGGACCACGGGACCGCCAAGGGACGCCGAGTCGAGCCTCGTCCGCGAGGGGCGCCGCGCAGGCTGCCACCGTCGCCCTGGCCGCCGTGGAGGCCACGCTGCTGCACCGCAGCGGCAACTTCTACCGGCACATGCTGGCTGCGAGGGAGCCGGCGGGCGGCAGGAGCTCCCCGCTCGGGGCTGAAGACACAGGGGTCCACAGGGGAACGAAGAATGACGTTGACAGAACGACTCGGAGGTCCGCGCGGATGTCTTGGATCCGCGCTGGACCCCCCTCCCTGGCGCGCGGAGCGCGCCGGGGGCGGCGCCGGAGGCGCCGCCAGGGGGGTCGATGCAAGCGGGGGTCAGGCAGAGCGCCGGATCTGGCAGGGTCCTGCAGAGCCAGGGCTGCACTGACCGGGGCTCGGGTGCAGGATCCAGCAGGAGCCTGCAGGATCTTGCAGGATCCTGCAAGGCCTGGTTGATCTGGGTCTGGAGTAGCCCGGGTCAGATCCCCGACCCGCTCCGACTCGTGCCCACTCCCAGCCTGGAGCACGTCCCTATCCTTGCGATCGGCATCACTCGATCTCGAGAAGTACCGATCTTGAGGATTCCATCAGTTTCCGAGGGCGCATCCCCAAGATTGTCATCGCATGTGGGCTTGGCAATCTTCGGGATTAGGATCAGACCGCGGTGGCAGCTTAGGGGCGCCTCTTCGGGGCAACGTTCCCACAAGCCTCGATCCCCCCCCCCCCACGTGTACCGGGTCGGACGGGAGGGTGGAAACGGAAGGAGGGGGGCACGCAAAAACATGTTCCCTGCAGCTTGTGGCTGGTGTCGGCCCCGCCGCCCGGCGTTGGCAGGCGCTGGGAAGGCTGGCTACTCGACACAGCACAAGACGTCACAAACAGAACCTTTCGTAGCGGAGCGCGCCCGGGGTGGCGGCAGGGATGGCGCCAGGGGCGCCGCCAGGGGGGCGCAGCGCCGATCCAAGACATCGGGCCGGAGCGCGGAAAGATGTTTTTTTTTGTTCGGCGGCGAAAAATCGAACCTTTCCCTCGCCGTTGAACGATTCAGGCAGCACGATGGGCGGCGGGAGCAGGCGTCGGAATTCGTCGGACGTGGCGAAGTCAGACCCCTACACCCGCCTCCCATCGATTCAGGAGAATCCAGGGTTCGGATGTCGGAAAGAGCGCGTTCTGTCATCGCTTGGAGGGGGGGGGGTTGAAACCGGACCCCCTCCCCGGAGGGGGGGCGGGGTTCAAACCCCCTCCCCCCCCCACACCGTGAGGGGGGGGTTCGAACCCCCCACCCCCCCCTTTCCCCTCCCATTGCCCCCCCCCCCCTCCCCCTCCCATTGCTTCCCCTCTCCTCGGGCCGGCGCTTGCGTCGGCGGCGGCTGGTGACGGCGGCGGGGACGATGATTTCTATTTCTGGGCCGGCGCCGGCGCCTGCGGCGGCGGGCGGCGGTGGTGAGGAGCGTCGACGAGGACGGTGGTGGTGGTGGTGGTTGGTTGTGGTGGTGGTGTTGGCGGTGGTGGTGGTGGTTATGGTGGTGGTGTGGTGGTTTGTTGTGGTGGTGGTGGTGGTTGGTGGTTGTGGCGGTGGGTGGTGGTGGTGGTGGTGGTTTGGTGGTGGTTGTGGTGGTGGAAGTGGTGGTGGTGGGTTGTAGTGGTGGTGGTGGTGGTGGTTTGGTGGTGGTGTGGTGGTGGTTGTGGTGGTGGTGGTTTGTGGTCGTGGCGGTGGTCTGTGGAGGTGGTGCTGGTGGTGGTGGTGGTGTGGTGGTTTGTGGTGGTGGTGGTGGTGGTGGGGGTGGTGCTACTGGTAGTTGTGGTGGTTGTGGGGGTGGTGGTGGTGTTGTGGTAGATTGTGGTAGTGGTGGTTGTGCTGGGTGGTTTTTGTTGTTGTGGTGGTGGTGATGGTGAGTTGTGGTGGTAGTGGTTGTGGAGGTGTCGTGGTGGTGTGGTGGTGGTTTGTTGTGGTGGTGGTGGGTTGTGGTGGTGGCGGTGGTTTGTGGACGTTTGGTGTGGTGATGATGGTGGCGGTGGTGGTGCTAGTGTGGTAATTTGTGGTGGTGGTGGGTTGTGCTGCTGCTGGTGGTGGTGATTTTTGTGGCTGTGGTGGTGGTAGTGCGGTAGATTGTGGTGGTGGTGGTAGTTGTGGTGGGTTTATTTGGTGGTGGTGGTGATGGTGAATTGTGGTGGTGGTTGTGGTGGTGGTGGTGGTGGTGGTGGCTGTGGTGGTGGTGGTGGTGGTGCTTGTGTGGTGCTGTTGTTGGTGTTCGTGGTGGTGGGTTGAGGCGGTGGTGGTGGTGGTAGTGGTGGTGGTGGTGGTAGTGGTGGTAAGCGTCGCTGCGTCCCCGCCGTCGCCGACGCCAGCGCCGGCGCTGCTGGCCGCCGCCAGCGCTGGCGCCGGCGCGAGGGGGGGGGGTTGAACCCCCCCCCCGGGGCTGCCTGTGGTCATCGTCTCTGCGTCCCCGCCGTGGGCGCTGCTGGCGGCCGCCAGCGCCGGCGCCGACGCCGAGGGGGGGCGGGAGAGGGGGTTTCAAACCCCCCCTCCCCTTGGGAGGGTGGGGGGGTTCGGGAGGGGTTGGGGGAGAGGGGAGTCCCCGTGGTTTTGATCGACCGCGCCGAGTGTTGGGTGGGAGTCCCCCCCCGGTTCGAAACGCGCCGCCGAATGTTCCCCAGGCAAGCGCCCGTGAAACGCGTTCTCTCGGATGTCGCCACATGTGTCTGCAGTGTTTGGTTTCTCGAGAACCACCTCTGCTGCCCTCAATGAACGGCTGGAGGCTTTTGGAGCACAGGTGGCCCCTCGGGAGCCAGCCAATGCCGAGAGTCGCATCTGGAAAGGTGCTTGAACGTTTTGATCCAAGGGCTGCTAGCTCTTGGTTCGTGAATGGTCTGCCCTTGTGCCCCACTAGCAAAACACAAGCTCGCCTTGTTGCGTGATACCCGACACTGGACCAACATTCTGAGTCGGTTTGGGAGGTCGCCGTGGCGATCGCAGCGGCTACAAATCGGGGTAAGGTTTTGTCAAGGCGGAGCATTCCCCTTCCAGTTCCCCCCCTGCCCTACTATGTAGACGTCGGTCACTCGGTCACACGTGACCCTATCCAGCGACAGAGTGTCGTTAGTCTATGACCAGCATGGTCCATCGTGTTCGCCGTTCCCGTTTTAGCACAACCCTCTCACGCTTCGTGGCCCCATAGGGAACTCCACCGAAGGCCCCAGAGGCACCGTCCACATGTTGGCGTCACGATCGTTTCGGCACACCCCTCACACGTTTCGTGGCCCCACATGGAGCTCCACCGAAGACGCCGAAGACGCTATTCACAACCGCGGCATTTACAACTGCAGGATAATGTTGGGAGTTTTGGTCAGGGGTCGACGATCTCTCAACCACCACCTCGACCACCACCCCTTCGTCCGACCCGAGTTTGCTGCCCCCCCCCCCTTTCGGCCGAGCGCCCCGCCCCCGAGGATGTCCAACGAAGGGCCCAGAGTGGGTGCATCTTGGACGCCGCAGTCCTCGTGCTGGCCCCCCCCTCTATCCCACCTGCCTCGCGATACGTACAGTCGAGCCGCATGGTAAGGATTTGCAACCTTCCCAAGGGTACTTTCGCATTCTTGCCTCCTCGGCCCATCCTTGGCCATTTTCGTTGGCCGCGTTCCGTGTGCGTCCAAGGCCCTTCCATTCTTATCGCGCATCCTGATACGGGCCGACGTTACTCGCAGCTGCACGTGGTTGTGTGATTTGTGGGCAGGGATCGATCCTCTCGCGACCACTACCCGCTCCTTCCGACCCGAGCTTCTTGCCTTTCCCCCCAGTAGCCGCCCGGGCCGAGCGTCCCGCCCCCCGTTCTGCATCGCTCGGGCGTGTGCGTGCTCCCTCGGCGAGGACCCTCGAGGAGCATGTGGGGCCCTTTTGCGAAAAGGACGCCCGAAGTCGACCACTGAGCGACGCAAAACAAAAAACACACAGGGCCGTTTGCGCCGGCATTGGGGCGTGAGCTGCCCGCGCAGGCTCGCGCGTAGGCGCCCTCGTCTCCAATGCAGCGTGCCGCGCCGGCGGCCCGCGCAAGCCGCCGCGTGAGGTGGCCAGGTCTTTCGCGCAAGACCCGTTCGTGATCGTCGCTCCACTGCACGGGACATGGGCGCCCGAGCGACGGCGCGCCCCGAGGAGCGTGGCGCCCTCGGCGCTGGCTCCCGCCGCGGCGCCGCGCGCCCCCGCGGCCGCGGGAGGACGCGCGCTGCGCGTGGCCTCCAGACGACGACGCTGCCGCTGCCGCCGCCCGTCCGCACCGCTGCCCCGGGGGCCGCAGCGAGGCCTTGTCTCTCTCGCCCGGGGGGGGCCGCCGCCGGCGCCGCGGGGCCCTCGTCGCCAGACCTCCCGCGTGCGGAGCAAGATCTGCAGTGGCCGGAGGAGGGAAAGGTACCTATATCGCTACCCTTCTTCCGTTTTCCCCTTCTTGGGTCTCCTGGGCCCCCTGGGCTGCCCTCGTCGCCACCGCAGGATTCCCCTCGAAACTCTGGTCAGAACGCACCCCAGGAGAGGTCTGGGGAGTAGCGGTATCGGTACTTTTTGGTTTCCCAAAGTAGGGACTAATTAGTAGGTTGATCTTGCCAAAGCAAGGGTGCCCTTGCGTCCTGCGTCTCGCAACCCGTGCCTCCTGCATTTCTACGGCAATGGAGCCCTCGAAAGGGTCATGTGCCCTTCCTGTGTGTCCTGTCCAATCAAATCCGACTGTGGGCCTCGCAGACGGGGTCTGGTGCTTCGGGACAGACGAGGGTTTTTGAAGAGGCAACGTAACGCTGGGGGGGTCTTCGAGGGGGCCGCCTTCGAAGCGAGGGGGGTGTTTTCCAGGTGCTCTCCAAAGCCTCCAGGGTCAACCTGCAGCAGCGAGGCCTTGTCCTGCACTGCGGGCGCCCCCCCGTCCCCCTCCCCCACTCCGCGGGGGGCCTCGCCCCAGGCCGCCCACGTCGGGGTCGGAGCGGATGGGGATGGAGGGCTGCGCCGCATCGCCGATGCATCGGGAATGCAACTCGGTGTGGAGCACGGGTTTCTCCACGCCGGCGTCGCCAATGCATCGCCGTTGCGTCGCGATGCGGCGCGATCCCCGATCCCATCTACTCGGACCTCATTTGGAAGGCCTCTACTCCTGCGGGCTCGGCCTGCCGCCGCCGCGGGGCCTTCGTCGTCAGACCTCCAGCGTGTTAGCAACAGCTCGAGGCGGAGGTGTGCCGCTGTGTCCCTCGCCGGGCCCCGAGGCTATGAAGCAAAGAAAAGCTCAGCATGGAAGTCGGCCTTGGGGACAGGGTCGGGGCTTCCGGGGGCAGCGTCTCGGAAGCATCAAGGCATCGGATGTGCGGTTCGTCGGGAGGTGGTGGTTGCGAGCGGAGCCTAGGAGCCTGGAGGTGGAGGTCGGATAACGAGGAGTAGGAGGAGGAGGAGGAGAACAGGAGGAGGAAGA